TAGAAGAGTGTGCTTGCTTCATTTATATCTTCAGTTGTGGACTGTCCAAGGCGTCTACAAACTGATCTCTCAGCAACAACTTGAGGAGATTGGTGGTGTAGTTGAGTAGGCCTTGTGTGCCATACTTTCCAAGTCCTGTACCAGCTCTTGCAGGCTCTCCCCTTTAGCACGGACTCTCGTCCTAAACCTAGCCCTGTAGACTTCAGACTGATTTTGGGTTCCGTACCTGAGTTCTAGAGCCGCTACCAGGGCTTTATAGTTGTGCCTGTCGTGTGCTGACAACTGCCCAAGTATTTCCAGTGGTTGTCCCTTCAAGCTCGTTGCCAGATATACAGCTTTCTGCTCCTCTGTGCCCACGGTGCCTTCCCATCGAATTCCCGTGGCTTCCTTCGTACTGGATCACCCCTATTGCTGACATTCATATCTGGGATGTGACTTCTAACAGGACTAAAGATGTCTGCATTAGGGCTTAGTTGCGGGGTCTGGGAGGGGCTTGTCATTGTCTGGGGCTGATTAATTCGATTCTTAAAGCATTCTCCTTGTGTAAAAGACAATAAATTATCCTTTAATGTATCTAATTTGCTTTTGAATTTACTAATGTTTTCCATTTATACTTCTTGCCTCTGTTGTTGACTTTCCTGTAGTTGCTGCTGACTTTCTTCCTGTTTCCTTTCTTGTTCCAGTTGCCACTGCTGTAATCTCTCTTCTTGTTTCTTTTCTTTTTCCTCCAACAACTGCTGTAATCTCTCTTCTTGTTTATTTTGCTGTTCGAGCTGCCACTGTTGCAGGTTTTCTTGCAACTGCTGTTTTCTCTCTTCTTGTTTCTTTTCTTTTTTCCTCCAACCACTGCTGTATTTGTTTTTTGTTTTTAATTATGCACAAAGCTACACAAGGGCTATCTGTGCTCTGCCCACCACGGGTATCGAAACCCGGTTTTTAGCGTTGTAAGTCCGCAGACATACCGCTGTGCCACTGGGGGGCCCACTGCTGTAAACTCTCTTCTTGTTTATTTTCTCGTTCTTCTTGTTTCTTTTGCTGCTCTTGTATTGCTTCCATCAAGTCTGCTAAGCTGTAGTTTGATTTGCGCTTCTCGTTTCCATTTTTTTTTCGTCCCACTCTCTGACACCTTTTTGTTACGCCTCCGTTCGTTAGTTAATTTTCCGTGAAAATTCTTTCCGAAGAAACTTTAGCGATACAAGTCCTTTCTTAAATAAAAGTGATTTATTCTTTCTGAATACAACTTTGCAATACACTTAATTTCCACGGTCACGCTATAA